ATAGGTGTCTGACTGCAGTGCAGTCTTTGCTCGTCTCTCTGTGATACAAATGGCATCGTTTTTACCTTCTGTGCCACTTAATTTCTTTGTACCACACAAGCCAACTAAGAAGGCAAGAAAGAAAAGCTTGTATTTATTTGACCTCACCAAGTTCAGTGGGATTTGGTAGTGACCAAAAATGGTGTTCTTTTGCACTCTGTGTTGCTGAGATGTGCACTCTTGCCTGAAATGACATTTGTGACCACAAGTAACAAAAATAAATGGAATTAGGTGCTAATCTGGTCTCTTAGGAAAAGCCAGAGTACAGTAAATGCTGCTTGGATTTGACTTGCTAAAGCAGGTTAATGTGGTAGAGACTAGGCAGTCAGGACAGGAACAACATCAATGTTCGCTTTCCACGCAGATGTTACAGTTCTGTTGGACACTGACAAGCCGAGATAGCACAGTGAAGTGTAATGCAATAAAGTTCTTTTGATTTCCTCTGTGGAGTTTTTAACTCGCAAGGTTTTGAATATAAAATACTGGCAACAGGCTACCTCATAGTGCAAAGTACCTGAGAAAGGAAGACAATATGGAATTTATTTGCAATGGCTACACATTTTTCATGAAAACATATGTGGGTATTTAAATCAAATGATTTTTTGGGCATATGTTTTCAGGGTGATGGATTTCCATTTCTTCTGATTAGAGCCTTCTGGTCGTCTACAGATGGGATGAAATGTAGGAGGGAAGAAAGGCAAGCTTTTCCTAGTACCTTGTCCCAACTTTGAAGTCCTCTGCAAAGGAGTGGAATTCACTTCCAAGTTCTCATGATGGGTGCCAGTTAAAGGCTTTCTGAAGTAGACTTCTAGGGTCAGACTTGCTCTTCCTTTGTACTCCATCAGCCTTAGTACTAATTTGTGCATTTGCATCATTACCATACCATGGCTACAAGACTTAAAGAAACCACAAATCTGCAATCTCTCTGCAGTCTGTTTCTGGACTGACCTGGTAGTAGGAAAGATACTGGATATTGAGCAAAGTTCTACCTCAGTTCTGTTACAACACTTCATTTTGGTACTGCAAATGGGATTCCATAAATTTAATATTTCTGCATGAAATTTCTAGATACTTACTATGAAGCTACTACATAAAAATACTGTCGTATTCATGTTTTTATAGTAACATAAAAATGAAAATTGAATGAAAAAAAGGCTAGGTGAATTTGCTGTCTTCCCATGAAGGTTTAGATTTTGATCTTTTTGGTTTTTTTAGTAGAAAATGTTTTCTGTTGGGCTCTGTTTTAGTTGCACTGGTGAAATATGTAACCAAGAGTGGAAATCACTGTTTCCTGGGTGAGAGCTGGGGGAGTGTTGCCAGTGGGATTGCTTTAAGAGGTTGGCTTGTACATGCTATAGCATTAGAGGAGAAGAAACATGAACTGAGGGCCAAACAGTACGAGAGATATTCAGAGTGCGATATTTGAGTTGCTTGCAGCTAAGTGGGTTTCTTTTCAGTATGACATTTGCTTGGTGTTTATCACCATTGTGGTAGCTTTAGAACCAGAATAGATGTGGAGGTTAGTGTTGTTTATTCTGACTAGCACCTTAGATCTTCACAGCTTTGTCCAAGGGAATTCTCCTCCACAGCAGAGCGACAGGATGGTGCTATGAGGGCGTTACACGCAGTGGCAGATTGTTTAGGTCCAGTTGGATTCTTAAGTCAAAGTAAATATTATCAATGATGATAGTAGTGGTAGCCTGCAGAGGGAAAAGAAAATGTTTAGTTCAGTCTTCAAGATACTTTCCATTATTGGTTTGGTGGGTGGACCTCGGCCAGCTGCCAGACACCCACCCAGTTGCTCCCTTGTGTACAGCCCAGGGGGAGAAAATAAGATGACAAGGTTTGTGGGTCAAGATAAAGACAGAGATATCACTTACCAATTACTATCATGGGCAAAGCAGACTTGACTTGGCGGAAATTAATTTATTGCCAGTTAAGATAGACTTGGATAGTGTGAAAATCAAAGAGAAAAATTAAAACAACATTCCCTGTCACCACCCTCCCTCCATTTTGCCATGACCTATTTCACTCCTGACTGCTCTACCTGCCCCCACCACCCCCAACAGTGCCGCAGATGGGTAACAGGGTTGTGGTCAGTCCAAACCAGTTCCTCTCTGCTACTCCTTCCTCCTCATGCTTTCCCCTGCTCCAGCCTGGGCCCCTCCTGTGGTGCTTCAGGAGAATCTGGTCTGGCACAGAGTCCTCCATTGGCTGCAGTGCAGATATTTGCTCCAGCCTGGTCTCTCCACAGGGCATGCCCTGCACCAGCTGCATTCAAAGCCCCCATTTCAAGCTCTTAGATGTTACAATATTAAGTATGAACCAGCCTTTGGTTCATATTGGAAGCTCTTGGTGCACCTTATCCCATAGGTTGGCTAATGGGCATCTGTGTTGCCTCGTACGTTCCCCCTCTTACCAGTGTTTTCAGAGTAGCTGAATTGCAATTGAGGAGGACCCACAGAACTGAAAACTTCTCTGCCTGTTTAGTTTCTTTCCAAGCTGTGTTAAAGATATATATGCTTTCCTAAAATGTTAGCAGAAACATTTCAGAAATGTTTGTTTGCTCATGCAAATGCGCACGTTCTGAAATACAAACACTGAAAATGACTCTTAAAAAAGTTAACAGGTCATATTTTTGCATCCAGCCCAAATACCAGAAAGAAATATGCATGTGCACAGTCACATACGCTGTGTGTTTTATTGTTTCTGTATGAATAATGCAAGGATATTGCTTAAAGAGAAAGATTTATAAAGGTATTGTTGGGCTTTTCAAACTTGGAGAAATTGTCTGCTACATGAAGATGGACAGCCACCTGTGCCTGTGACCATTTTGAGCACTCTGTGTCTAGGAGGCTGGGTACTGGGGAAGGGTCTGTACATCACCAGGTTGTGCATTCACACTCTGTACTGGGCTGGAAAGTGAGTGACGCACTGAGGATCGTAAGCCAAGGCGGTGTGCGGTTGCTTGGCACTGAGTGCAGGGTGGTAATTTGGTGCTCTTCCATCCCCCAAGGAAGGGGCAAGGGAAGTCCTGGTTTGCACCCAGCGCCACATCTCCCATTGACTCCAGGCAGCTTTGCACTGACCTCTAAATTGGGAAAGTTCTCTTCGCTTCCAGAGGAGAATGAACTGACTAAAGATTTTTAATAACTGTTACAAAGGGTAAAGCATAAATAACAAAAATGTTGTAATTATAAACCAAACAAAACCAAAGCCACAAAAACCCCCAAACTAATCCTCTGTCCAAAAGATTTCCTAACCAAGTAGCTGTTCCACTTCCAAGCAGTGGCAGTCGTGTTGCTGAGCATCACTTCTGTGCTGAGCCACTGCCCCTTTAATACTGTTTTTCCAAAAGAGGAGAAAAACTCCTCTTATCTTGCAAAAGTGATCCCAGCCTTCTTTTGCTCATTAAAGTTGGTTTGCTGATTTATCTCCTTCCTCCCACACTACTTAATGTTAATGCAAATGATGTGGGGTGGTCATCAACTTCTAGCTGACGGTGTTGTGTTCCTTTTTGCTGCCTCCCACTTTTCTTCTGCAGACAGAATTGACCCCACCAGCTGCTGTGTTTGTCAGAGACATTCTTTCTCATATTTCTTTGCCTCTGGGGCTCAAAAACATCAGATAGTGGTGAAGCTGGAGTGTGAAAGAACAAATGAATGGCTGAGTTACAGGGTGAGCAGCTGTAGGACATTTAGAGAGACTAAGGAAATAAAAAAGAAACCTGCTGAGATTGTCTCCTGAGAACAACCAAAAATATATTGATTAATCCTGTGTTGCTGTTAGGTGTGATTTACCATTGGGGGAAATGAGCATTTCTAAGACTGCAGGAAATTAAAAAAATAACTCAGGTATGGTCTTGAGGACTCCCAAACATCTTTGAAATTAAAAGTCTATGTTTGGATGTGTATGTAATGCATCTACCTAATTAAAAACAAACAAACAAAACCCCCCAAAACCTTGGATTTAGTTCCCAGTCTCCTTTTAGTGTGTAAAGTTTATTTCAAAACAAAGATTTACCCTGTGTCTAGCAATTGGATCCTGCTGTGCTTAGTATTACCCCTGCTGTGCGTGTTCAGATCTAGATAAGACATCTAACAGAGGTCCTGACCTCTTATGGTCTTTAAAATTCCCAGAAGCCATTTTGAAAGAGCACATTTTTTATTTCCTTTGTTTGTTAAATGCAGTCACTGCTCAAACAGAGAAACCGTCCTGCTTGACCCATGCAGTTTACAGCTGAAGCAAGTGGCCAAAATAGTGTGGTCTCAATAGTGGGGGATTAACCCATGTTAAGTTCAGTGTAGTTGGGATCTAAGTTTCCCTTCCTCCTATCTGTGAGTTGAAGGGGAACCGGCACATTTTCACATTCTCACCAGAGAAGGTTGCTGAGTTTAATCCTGGTCTTTTCCCCATACTTTATTGGTTTTGAACATCTCAGAGCAGATGCAGTCCCAAATAGTTGAGAGAAAAACCAAAAATATAACCTCCAAAATGCCCCAGAGCAAAGCCTAATAAATGTCATTTGTTAGCACTTTACCCTCGTTTGGCACTGTTACGGCTTGTATCAAGTGTAATGCAGGGTGCAATTGGACCCCCACTGTTGTTCTTGTCGCCCCAGGGGGACATTTATCGCAAGTGAGAGAGCAATTACAGTGCAGTTAAACTCACTGTGGTAAATCTTGGGTTTTAAAAGGAGAGCTAACTTTGTTGTTGTAGGTTTGGCTGCATGTCATTAGTTTTGCAGCCCTTGTGCAGTATGCTATATGGCCTGGTACAGAGACCCAGCAATGCTGCCTCCTTTAATTATAGATTATGCTTATTTATAATGTATGACCGATTTTAATAGAAGGGTATGCTTTAATATTAATGGCCCTTTGTGTCCTACATATGGGACCCAGTTTAAGGATCTTTGTCTCTCTTTTTTCCCCTTTGTCCCCTGTCACCCCCTTCTGCTGCAGCGAACCTGCGTCCAGGGGCTGAACAGAAAGTGGTGTTCATCACTGCACGAGTCCATCCTGGAGAAACACCATCTTCCTTCGTGTGCCAAGGTGAGTGTCTGCATGAAGATGGCAGATCTGGAGGGATCAGGTTTCCTATTGATACAAACCCAATATGCGCGTAGCTTTGGATCTGATAGAAGGCTGAGTTCACACGACAGTTTGTTGTTAGCAGAATCTCTCACCTCTACCCAGATGTCTATCGTCTTGGGGGCAGTAGGAATATATTGTCTCTGAGTCTTGTGAATGTTTGCTGAACTTGGTCAGAATTGGACAGTGGGCTCTGATGCTACTCAGGAAGAACTGATAGTCACATTTGTACATATGCAATGTGATGGTGTAAGGCTCTGTTTCTTAGGAAAACAGGCTGTAAAAGCTCTGGGAGTGGTTGTCTGTTAAGTGCTTATGTTTTCTTGCTGTCTACTGTCTTCAGCTTCTCTTCCACCACAAAGCAGTGACCCTAGTTCTCCAGTTTAATTCTGAGAGGCCTCTATTTCTCTGAAGCTGCTGCTCTGAGGAGCACAGCTCCCAGTGGCTGACAGCTGTTCCCTGCACAAAGACTTCC